AATTTTACAATCACAAAGATAGAAGCATACAAGAAGAATTTTGAGCAAAAAATTTGGAGTATTATGGCTTTATAACGCCGTGAAACGGGATTTACAACTCTGAAGGAGTGGAAAGCCTCAGATTTTGTTTATCAAACGCGAGCTCGTTTTGCCACTTTAATACAAAATCAACTTAAAATATACAAGAATTACTGTTACTGGACGAATATTCTCAGGAAATTTGAAGAAATGAAGCAGCTACATTGTGAACAAAAGCGTACAGAGGTTAGACTTTGTTTATCAACGCGAACTCGTTTGCTACTTTCATACAAAATCAACTTAAAATATACAAAAATTATACTGTCACTTACTGGACGAATATTCTCAGGAAACTTGAAGAAACGCGAAGCAGCTACATTGTGAACGAAAGCGTACTGAGGTTAGTTTTAAAATACCTTGAGGCTACTTTTATAATTATACGATCGAATTTAATAAGGAACAGTTTTAAATGTCAATTTTGTCAAAAGCATTCCTAGGCAACTTGTCGAGAAGTTTTATATGTTTTAAAGTAGGAAGACAAGTGACAATGAAATATTTTTAACCCAAATTATAAACAAAGACTCAATATGTTATTTTAATTCATATAATTATGGAAGTAGCCTCAAGGTATTTTAAAACTAACCTCAGTACGCTTTCGTTCACAATCTTCACAATGCAGCTGCTTCATTTCTTCAAATTTCCTGAGAATATTCGTTCAGTAACAGTAATTCTTGTATATTTTTGAGTTGATTTTGTATGAAAGTAGCAAAAAGAGCTCGCGTTGATAAACAAAGTCTGAGGCTCTCCACTCCTTCAGAGTTGTAAATCCCGTTTCGCGGCGTTATAAAACCAAAATACTCAAAATTCTTCTTGTGTGCTTCTATCGTTGTGATTGTAAAATTGGCCTGATCGGAAACGTAGCCAAGACAAAAAAAAACGCGAAAAACTACCGTCTGTAATACAAATCCATACAAAAGTGGGGCCCCAGAATCGGGTGGCGGCTGGTGACTTCCGGCTTCACTTTTGTATACTATAGATGCGTTATCCAGTCTTATTTCAGATCAGTGATAGGAATGCATATACTGAACCAGTTAGACAACTCGCCTTCGCCAGTTCGTCAGTTGACGTCTGTCGTTCGTAGACATACCCGTATCGGTTGTTTAATTGCTAATTACAGACTGGACGATTAATGGAAGGAAAAGTTGGTTATTTAGTATTAAAAAACAAGCAATCTGCAAGCACTCATCTGACTTGTGACTCAAGCGGAACTATAATCAGGCAACAGATGCTGCATGCATATCGTAAGACTGAGTCGCAGACTGAGGTAAAAAACACTATATCTAACTCGCTACCAACACTCCCATTCAGAAACGGGTGATCATATTCAAAATATGGGTTAAAGTACTCCAGAAATATTTTTACCTGCTAATCCAAACCTCACGAAGCACAAGGTTAAAATGAGACAACCTGTAATAAGAAGATGTTCACATATTTGTTAGATATGGAATTCGCACAACACAAGAAATAGAACATTCATGAAATGATATTTGAATAGTTCATGAAATAATATTTGAATTTGGACAGTTCTGTCAATTTTCTTCATATTAGATATTGCTCAGAAAAGGCAATTAAGCGCCGGATTTCTTGATTCTATGGCCTTGCACATAATGTCAGTTTGAAAAGGTAGATAATATTAGTTTCCGATCGCATGTGCAAAGGGTGTAGAGCGACAGCACGTGGTGAGGGAACATTAATTCCGCACGGGCATATACCCCAGGTATGTGAGAATGAAATGTTGCTGACCAAAATTTAACTCAAAGAAAAGCTTGTGCCAGAGGCAGAAGTATTTTGAATTAAAATAACGGCAAAACAGTTTTTGTCTCTCCGGTTCCCTATAGTAGCACGGCCGGGATAATCGAGGGACGAAAGTTCCAAATGGTTGTCGAGTAGGCCTATATACGTGGACCACTGGACTATCCAGTACATGTACACTAACCATCGAAACAAACAAAAATTGCCTGGGACTTTTAAAAATTTTATATTTTGAAATATTTGTAATAAAATAACTCTGAACGATCCATCATTTTGAGAGTCAAATCAATGAGTCCGGAGAGCAATTTTACATATGCCGAAGTTTGTTAATGTTTTAAAATCATATACTGTCAACAACGTGTAGGGCTGTCGTTCAATTTACCTAACCTTCCAAACATTTTTAAAAAGTATTCTATCATAAAGTCATGAAACACTCTCAGAAAACGTATGTCCATTTTCAGCAAAAAAGCGTGAAAAAGCAACATTCTGTAGCTCAGTTGGTTAGAACACTGCACCGGAATTGCAGGGTCGCGGGCTCGATTACCGCCAGGGACCTATAGTTGAACCTTTCGCAGCTGTTCCTGGTTAGATCTAATAAGGCTTCCCAGGGCTTCTCGGGTGCCTTATGTTGTGATAAGCCCTGGGACAAGCCCAGGCAGAAGTGATTTAATTGGTCGTTGGAAATGGAGTGAAGTACAATGCTATTTACAATGCTTGTTTTCTATGAATTAATGGAAACAATTTGCAAACAGAAGGAAAGAAAATAACAAAATGCACAATTATGAAGTTGACGTAAGCAACGATATCGAAGAAACGTCAAATGTGAAGCTAATAAAAAGTGTTAACATGTATTAGTATTAAAAATTTAATATTAAAAATTGCGCTTATAATAACTATAATTGTAAAATTTCAAGAACACTGTAAATATAAAATATTTAATATATATTTATGACAGTAAAGTTTTAATGGTGTAATATATTGCGTTTTCAAAGTTTTTGGTATTGCATGCATGGTCACTTATAGCTTGGCCTATAAATGGCCAATTTGGAATTATAGCTTACAGTATGAAGACATTTACTTTTAGTGTATAAGTCGGGGAATGAGCTCGGTCATGGTGAAGGAGGGGGGAGGGGTTCACTTAATGTTTTAGCTGCTGTATATAAATGCTGAAAAAAAGCAGTCGGCTAGGAAAGGCTTTTACAGAACTGTAAAGGAATGGCTTCGATAATTTTAAGTAAAAATCCCAATTGAATACCGAGAGATAACAGGACCGGAAAAATTTCCCTTTCCCTTTTGTTCTGGCTGCAGGGGGACTCCCTGAATTTCACACACCAAATTGATATACAAAATAGACCGCGAGCAGTTCTTCGGTAGAAAAGAGGAACCGCCGACAACATGTCAAGCGACGAAATACGCCCACTTTTCGCTCGATCTTGTCAAGTTGGCTCCGCCTTTGTAGCCTATAAACATTACTTATTGTCATGTTTATTTGTAAAATCAACATTCAGTCTGGAAATATAAATGATTTATAATTATTACGTATCAGATTTGATTTCGACCAATGGAAATTTTGCATTGTGTATGGGCAACGCGTATTTCGTTTCTTGATGTGTTGCGGGCAGTCCCTCCTTTCCTTTCGCATGCCCAGAAACCTAAACCAGCCGAATGGAGGGACCGCTCGCAGTCTATATAAAAAATAACTTATTCGATAGATTACAATCTTGTGATTACAAATACTCTGACCACAAAGTACAAACATACGGTTTAGTTTTCGGTTCCGGGATAAGTTTTGGCAGGATTTCCTGCAAATAATTGCTGCTGCGTGCGCGATTTTACCAATAGCACGGATCCAGATTTCATATTTAGCATGACTATAAAGTATAAATAAATATAAATTAGGATGCACCTACCTCTGTTAGTATAGCCGCTCCACGACTGGGATCCAAAATTCAGACAATACACTTTTTTACAATATATTTTGCATAAACTACACGCATTTGCCTTGTTTTTAATGCTAATTTAAAGACTGTAACTGTGGTAACCAAGTAATTGCATGTTACGTACCAGGCACCATAGAGTCATCATTGGACGTACCCGTGTACCATGGTTTAATGAGGAAATTAAGGCTGAGAGAAGGTGGAGAGACATGAGGTTAGACGCTGACCTTGCTGATTTCAAGCAGAAGAGAAATGTAGTGAATCGGCTTATGAATAAAGCTCGTCGAGAATTTTATTCAGAGTTTATTGATGCCCATAGTGGAAATCAGGCAAAGCTCTTCACTGCTACTATGAAGTTAATAAACCAATCGAAAACTCGTGATTTACCACCTGTCCCAGACAACGCTGTATGCGCGAGCAGCATTGGCAAGTTCTTCTATCGAAAGATTGCCAATATTCGAGAACAGCTTGACAGTAGGTCGGATCCTGTTACACGTAAGACTCAAATTAATGCTGCAGCAGTTACTACGAGAGGCGTGTCGCCTTTTTCTGATTTCAATGTTCTAACGGAACAAGAGGTTTCAGCGCTGATTATGAGCTCCTCACGGAAAACCAGTCCAACTGATCCTATGCCATCTAAACTAGTTAGTGAATGTAGTTGGCAGTTATCTCCTGCCTGTTATTACAAAAATGATTAATACCTCACTGCAAAGTGATAATTTTCCTGATGACTGGAAAGAAGCTTTACTTTCTCCAATGCTAAAAAAAGTAGGAGCTCACTTTACTTTTCAAAATCTAAGACCAGTGAGTAATCTAACATTCATCTCAAAACTCACGGAGAAGGCTGCCTCTAATCAAATTCATTGTCACATGACTGTTAATAATTTGTTTCCTCCTCTGCAGTCAGCATATAGAAAGAATCACAGCACCAAGATCGCGCTATTCAAAATCACTAATGACATTTTGCTTAATATGAACAAGCAACACGTAACTCTTCTGGTGGTACTGGATCTTAGTGCCGCTTTTGATACCATTGATCAGGATATTTTGCTTGATCGTATGTCAACTAAACTTGGTATTGAAGGTGTTGTTTTGAAGTGGTTCGGTTCTTACCTGAAAGGTAGATCACAACGAGTTGCTGTTCATGGAGCAGTTTCTGAGAAGTTTGATCTAAGTTGGGGAAGTTTCACTGGGCTTATGTCTTGGACCCTTACTTTTTACCATCTATGAATGCTAGTGAACTTTTTAATGTCATCAAAAATCATCTTCCAAATGTTCACTGTGTTGCTGATGATAGCGAGTTATATCTTTCCTTCAATCCTAGTAAGGAGCATGGAGATGTGTAAGCTGCCAAGAGCATGGAATTGTGTGTGAATGATATTAAGAACTGGATGTCCAAGGATAAACTTTTAATGAATGATGACAGGACGGAGTTCCTTATAATAGGAACGAGGCAGCAGTCAGAGAAAGTGGATCTCAATTGTATATCAATCGGCACTGTTGACATCTTGCCTTCTAGTTCTCGTATTAAGAGCTTGGGCGTATGGATGGATAGGAATCTATCTATGGATGCTCATATTACACGAACATGCTGAACTGCCTTCTATTATTTGTATAATATTAGAAGGATTAGACCGTATCTTTCTAGACAGACCACCGAGATACTTGTCCATGCGTTCATAACCTCCAGGCTTGATTATTGTAATAGCTTGTTTTATGGTATACCATCATATCAACTCCATAAACTTCAAAGGATTCAAAATGCAGCGGCCCGTCTCATTTTTAGGGAGAGTAAGTTCAGTCATATAACTCCATTACTACGATTGTTGCATTGGCTACCGGTTAAACAAAGAATTCAATTTAAAATACCGCTATTGACTTTTAGAGCTATTCATGGTAGCTCTCCACAGTACATTATGGATCTTATCACCATCAAACAACCAACTAGATACTGCATGTCTACGATCACACAATAGTAGAACGCTTATGCGCCCTAAAGGCAAATTTTTGGTAACTTTAGGAGACAGATCGTTTAGTGCAGCTGCGCCTAAAGTATGGAACAGTTTACCGGCTGGAATAAGGAACATTAATTGTATTACGTGTTTAAATCATCAATTAAGACTTTTCTTTTTAAACAACACTTTTTACACTAGTATTTATTAACTACTTAAGAGTTATTGTAAATAGCGAATCTTATATAAAATAGGTTAATTAATCTTATCATATTGTAACATCGATTGTAATGCGCAATTAAAAACAATTCAGTTGATATTTGCGCAATATAAATTAATAAATTATTATTATTATAAATAACACTAGAGGAGGCATTGTAATCTCGCGTCAGTCAAAGAAAGGGAACGCGGCTATTGGGGGGCAAAAAATTAAAATGCTAAAATAACAGCCAATTTGAGCCAAAATCTCTAAATGTTTATTTATGGCAGTTAAGTAGTCCCGTTTTAAATTTTACCAAGCATTTTTACCTCAATTTGGTGTAGAACACATTTTTGAGAGTTAATTAATGCTAGTTATTTTTGAATAATTAATGCTGATGTCAGCAATTTTGATCTCTTCTGGAGCAATTAATCGTTTAAATTCAAAATTGAGGGGGGGGGGATATTTTTAGTAATGACATGCAAAACATGTAAAATACCCAGTTTTGTGACTCTTGTTTAAATTTTTTTGGTCTCAAGTGTAACCCAAGAATTGTGCGGCGTTCATCAGTTTCAATTTGCCCCCACATTATCGCGTTCCCAAAATTGCCCATCGATGCCCCCTCTAGTGTTATATTATTTATAATCTTTATGCCAGGCACATCACGAATGTCACAATTTGTAATCACATATTTCTAGTCCCTGTTTTCTGATTGTCTATGCCAAAATTAATGGAGTTATGCACGTCATCTATCTATAATAATATATATTTTCTTGAAATGTTAGATAATTCAGTTGTGTAAAAAGTCGCATTCTTTGAGGATCGGAACGTGCGTATTTTTTTAACCCTAAAGAGTAAAGTGTCTGAATAAAAATCAGGTGTCCGTGCTATAATGTCTTGCATACTATCTTATGAGTGCGCTTCTCGTAAGATGATAAATTTTAGTCGACAGAGAAGACCTGACTAAGTAATTTGAACACTAAATTGGATGCGGTTGGGCAATCATATGCAATATTAATTGTGCTTTGTTGTTATTGTGAAGACCAAAATCTTGTAGTATAGACGGACAGCTGAAAAATGTAACTTGCCATATGAAAACCTTTCCTAGAAACCTTGCTCATGCCTCATGTGTATAATAATTGCGCTTTGTAATAACACAGTTGAACTGGTTTGAAATATAAAACCATTTATCAAATGTTCCTGCATTCAAATATGCAGTATGTAAGAGTTTTTTAATAAATGTAAGATCGCTGCTTTTTTCCCAGAATTTAAAATTTCTATGCATTTGCTTCTTGGTAAATGCATGTATATATTAATGATATTTACAATTAATTTTTAAAATTCCAATTTTTATTACAATCGCCCAAGGTATGTACACAATTGACTACTATACATCTTCATGAACAGTTCCATCTATATAACTATTCTTTCGGTCTGTGTTTCTTATTATAAATACGCTTTTAATACCAACAATGAGGGCCCCCTATACTTTTTGCGTGAAGCGTGAAGGGCTTATTTTACTTCGCCGTGAAACGTAATCGGGCCCCCTATACGTTTTGCGTGAAGCGTGAAGGGCTTATTTTACTTAGCCGTGAAACGTGATCGATGATTTTCTTAATCCGTGACTCGTGAAAAGGTAAAATATTTTTACGTGAAAGCATATTGTGAAGAGGTATAGGGGGCCCTCAACAATGCCATATCAATTTAGCAGCATAAACATGTTTCTTAAGTCAACGCTAACTTTAAGACAACGCTATCTCCTGCATTTTCCAACTTTACTGATTTTACTATATTATCTTATTATGCTGTATATTATCACCATTTTTTTAGCCCATAATGTTATTTCAGTTAGCTTGTACCTTCAAAAAAGTATAATTTAATGATGTCTTATTGATAATTGTAATATCTGGTACTTAACAAATTGCCATTGTCAGTAACGTCTACTTTTAGGCCGCTTTTTTGGAATAGTTTGAAAGCACTCGCAAAATTTCCTTACTTTATATAGAATAACCAAAAACCTTTGGGGAAACAGATAGTTTGTATTTTCTGTAGTTTTCTGTATTTTCAAGGCATATCATACAGAACTTTCTTTACTCCTAGCGCACATTATAAATATATTAAGATCTAATTATGTAAATACTTTATTCGTTAATAATCGAGAGGAATGGAGTTGAAACGCAATACATCTTTGCCTGCATGCATTGCATGCGTGCATGATATAGCTATAGGCTTTACAATATCATTTATAAAAATTTTATAATTAATTAAGCCTAAAACTGTACAGAAATAATTTAACAATTGTTTCCTAACTTTGTTGCTTAAGAATTGCCTTTTCAAAATCTTATTTTCCGGCCAAAGGTATAGGTATAGGTAGATAAAACTTTATTTAAAAACAACGCGCTAGCTAGCCTCGTCAATTACATTCGTTGATTTCCACGAGGGGCGTGTTCATTACATGAATATATATATAATTAAATATTCACAAAAATCGACCTATTAGTATGGATAGAATAACTATATTTACAATAAATTACGAGAAATTGTGGGCAGTAATTCCATTTCTAAATATCAGCAATGAATCCGAATCGCACAAATCTGGGGGTAAGGAATTCCACAGTTTCGCCTCATCATAAGAAAAACTTTTTTAAAATTTTCAGTCCAGGGAAAAGGTATTTGCAGCGGAGTAGTGGAGCCCCTGAGCTTATAATATGTGATGTTACTTTTACGCACAAAAAGATTGACAAGTGCATTTGGAGCAAAATCATTTAAAACTTCATACATTCAGTAAATTACTTTTGACTTGGTTCGTTGAGACTCAGGAGTTTTCCACCCTAATCCAGCTAGGGGTATCATTTTTCATACTCATTATTATCCTTGTAGCTCTATTCTGAAGTTTTTGATGTCGAGTTGAAAGACTAATGCCCAAAAAGCATTAAATTACATTTGCAATTACGATCGATAATTACAATAACTCTTTGTTGTACTCGTATAATTACAATGATATTCCAGGTCATCGTTGGCCGACTGTTTTTTCCAAGTTTTATTAACAAAGACATACACATTTTGATGATAATTGGTAAATACGTTATTAGAAAATAAGACTGCCAAATCGAAACAGAAGGTAATGCCAAACGAATTGCATGTAACGGGGCTGGTTTGACTTGACGCTTTCACTGCAACAAAGGAGACTATATAGCGTTCCCGTTATTAAATTAATTAGCGTTTTTTTTGTCAAACAGGAAAGAAAACAACCACAACCCAAGCCTTCCTTTCTGTGGAAATGTTGTTTAGGTTATCAAGTATTTTATTAAGATTACAACATTATTTAGCTAAATACGAGAGCTCGCTTTTTATAGATTTGGTGCCTTATATATCACAGATGGCCACGAATGACGGCCGCATTTTTTATCCACGTTTTCTGTGTGTTCCTTTCGATTGAATTATATTATTATTCAGCTCACTCCTCATTGGGGCTTTTCAGTGACCGACTATATCACAAGTATTTCGCTTACTTATGTTACTGAGCTTAAACTATACTTATCTTCACAACAATTGTGATATTAATAGCTTGCCCAAATTTGTTTATCCTGACCCACCCTGCCAAGTTGTCATGCAGGAAGAAACCGGAGCGCTCGGAGAAAGCGCACGGCTTTCGCCAGAGTTTTAATTTAACAGACTTTTTCACATGAGTAGCGAGAATCGAACCCACGACCTTAGAGGTGAAAGGCGGTTGCTCTGACGCCTGCGCCACCGAAGTCCTCCAATCCTCCAATTATATACGGTATATTATGTTTTAAACGGTTAGTTTGCGAAAGAAATACAATGATTTCTATTACTCTGAATTTTGAATAGTGTTGCTAATTAGTCTAATTATAATCGAATAGTGTTGCTAATCAGTCTAATTATACTTGAGTTCCTTTAGTTTCGATTCTAGAGCGCGATTGCGCGACAACGCCTCTTGGTTGATTTTACTTGAATCACATATTATATACTATAATATTTTGTCTAATACAGTCTACTCACCTAGTACGTGCGCTACAGCCATTTTGCAATGTAATGCTCTTCTAAGATTGCAACGG